CCTGCACCAGAATACACAACCTGCAGCCTGCACCAGAATACACAACCTGCAGCCTGCACCAGAATACACAACCTGCAGCCTGCACCAGAATACACAACCTGCACTAGAATACACAACCTGCAGCCTGCACCAGAATACACAACCTGCAGCCTGCACTAGAATACACAGGTGTGGAACAATAAATTTACAACTTTGGATGTACATTACAGTTTGTTGTTACTTTCTGTTAAACTTTCAGAGAACCTTACAGACTTGTTTAGTTACCCCCGGCTCTAACATTAGATGTGGAGGCATCTTACAATCTTGCTTAGACTTCCCTCTTTTTCCTTAAAGTTTGAGGTTCCTTGCACTATTCATTCTTGAAGGACAGGAATAGTGCAGTCTTGTGTTTATGTTGATACTTTTCACCAGTTGTCAAATCAATGGGCCAAAAATAGTCAGTCTAATTAGTATGATCACTGCTTACTTACAGACAGTCCAACCAGTAGGAATTTGCATGCTTCATCTTCTTCTTGTGTTCCTCCTTGAAAAAGCATTCATATGTAGTGTTGTGGTTTACAGCTGGGCTGTGATATCTGACCTTTTGGCTCCATACATATAATTTCAGAAAATCCCCAATTAGCTGTCTTTTGCAAAATGCTTTAACGGGGGTAGGGGGGGGGGGCAGGGGGGTTGTGGACCTGTCCCCCACTCCCCCCTTTCCATTAAAAAAAAAAAAAAAAAAATTAGCACTTGAATTCATAAGGTATCACATAGTAAAATCAATGTGTTTTATTTACACTCATGGTTGATTCAATAAGACTCACTTATATACACAGTCCAACGAATAGGCATCCCTTACATATAAAGTTCTGTCAAATTATGTAATTTACAAGGTCTGTTTAGTGGGAAGCATTCACACGTAGTCTAGTCATTAGGCATCCTTTACACACCACAATTAATCCAGTCAACAGGCATCATTTACACACATAGTTACTCCAGTGAATGGGCATTACTTGAAAACACACACAAAGTCATTTCAGAAGTCACTCCAGCCCTTTCATAAAACTGTTCGGACAAACCATAAATACTTTGTTCCGCTTCTTTGCTTCGGAAAAATAAAAAGAGAGTGTGGCTGACATTATGCTAGCTAGCTTTGCTACAAGGGGAACTAAATCATACTCCTTTAATCAAGTTGGGTGAGACACAAGAGCCTTTTCTGCCAGACAAAAATGTCAAGAACAGTGATTACCCACTGGATCACCATGTTGGAAAGTGAGTGCTCTAACTAGTTCATAGTTATGCAGCTTCATAACTATACACAGGAAATGTCTTAACTCTTTGAGTCCCAAAATGTTTAGCATCAGAGGCCCAAGGGGTAGTCAAAAGAAATGTAAAATCGGCGCATCCTGCATTTATTGGGTCTCTGTGTAGGAACCTATGAATGTATGATGCGATCATTGGGACTCAGAGAGTTAAGCTGAAGCGAGATCAGCGAGGCACTTTAAGGAAGATCAAAGGCAACTATTCTATAGGAATAGGTAGATATCTCTTCAAGGTGAGCATAGGAAAGCCCTAATTTAGTCCCTCTTATTCCAAACAACACCTGTCGTGCAACTGGCTATTAAATTAGAGAAGAAATGTGTGTGTGTCTATTTTAGTGGAGATGATTCCTTTTGTGTTGCATTTTAAGTTGTTATAATGCAAGTGACAAGATACAGCAAAATATTACAGGCAATAATAATGTAATGCTAATCCGCCTCGAAATGCGATGACATTTAAAAATCTTTATTTTAAAACCCGACCCCCGGCTGTCGTCAAAGGCCATAAATATGACCTAATGGTTGAACAGGGTTTCTGGGTCTTGCACCCGGGTGTTTCTCATCCAAATGGTGGTACTTTGTGTCACTGGGTTTTTGACCCTCACTTTGTGGTCCTGGTGGGGTTGAACGGTCAGTTTGTCCGGGCAATAAATTGTGCATTGGTATTGTTTGTGTCCACATTATTTAAATATTAACAAGTTGTATTCATGTGGTCTACACAATAAAGCAATTTTTCAGCAGCACATTACATCAATACACAATACAGTATCATAGAGAAATCTTGCAAACAACAAACCCTGTAGTCACTTAATTAAAAACACATAGCTTAAAGTAGTTTTGTTTCGTGTTACTATTTAATGAGACAAAATTTTTTTTAACTGCATTGGCGTCCGTGGCTTAGGCGTTGCGAGTCCGACTCGTAATTCCACATACCGTGATGAAACCCACAGCTGGCTGCGTGGATTTTTATCGTGGTATGGACATCGCAGGTCGACCCAGCCTAAAATGGTTACCAGGATGGCTGTTCTGTGGAAATAGAGATGGCTGGCCTAATGCTGACCACATTACCCACCTAGTGCCGATGGTCTGAAAAAATATGGGCACTCTTCCCATATACCCGGTGTGCCTAAAGGCGTGAGAAGGGATCTTTACAATCAATCTTCTGGGACTGTACGCATTAACATACTACAATAGATTTTGGATTTCTAGGACAAATAATAATACAACTCATTGTAAAATTTGTTAAAAATGTCAAATAACACTAACTAAACATGTTATAATGCTACATCATGAGTATTCAGTACTGAACTTGTGTGTATTTAAATAACATGAGCATACCTTTAATGTGGAATTGATGATGCCAGGAAAGAGGGGGGCAGGGGCTGACCAGCACACAGATGAGCAGAGGATATCAGTGACAGCTTGCGTAGGAGAGTGCACAAGGTGGGGGAGCTGGTGAGAGACTGAGTTTCTTCGGGCAGGCTGTGATCAGAGGGACATTCCTCAAAGCACCTGCCACATTATGATGATTTCTTTGTTATATAACATTTATGTATAATTAATATTACAGCTGTATGTATTTCATATAATGTTTCTTTTCTTCCTTAAAGCCAACAACATATGTCCTCATGTCAGGCCACAGATGTCATGTGCAACCAGTTTTTGATGATCAGTAATTCTTCCATGCTTTGATGCCAGTCAATCTTCTTAATCTTTCTGTTTTTCTTTCCCTCTTTCCCTCAGAAATTGCCACTGTCAGACTTTGCTACTGTCAGACTTTGCTACTGTCAGACTTTGTCACTGTCAGACTTTGACACTCTCAAACTTTGTGGCTGTCATACTTTGTCACTGTCAGACTTAGTCACTGTCAGACTTTGTCACTGTCAGACTTTGTCACTGTCAGACTTTGTCACTGTCAGACTTTGCCACTGTCAGACTTTGCCACTGTCAGACTTTGTCACTGTCAGACTTTGCCACTGTCAAACTTTGCCACTGTCAGAGTTTGCCACTGTCAGAGTTTGCCACTGTCAGACTTTGCCACTGTCAGACTTTGCCACTGTCAAACTTTGCCACTGTCAGACTTTGCCACTGTCAGAGTTTGCCACTGTCAGAGTTTGCCACTGTCAGACTTTGTCACTGTCAGACTTTGCCACTGTCAGACTTTGTCACTGTCAGACTTTGCCACTGTCAGACTTTGCCACTGTCAGACTTTGCCACTGTCAGACTTTGCCACTGTCAGACTTTGCCACTGTCAGACTTTGCCACTGTCAGACTTTGTGACTATCAGACTTTTCCACTGTCAGACTTTGCTACTGTCAAACTTTGCCACTGTCAGACTTTGCCACTGTCAAACTTTGCCACTGTCAGACTTTGCCACTGTCAAACTTTGCCACTGTCAAACTGTTCCTACTGTCAGACTTTGCCACTGTCAGACTTTGTCACTGTCAGACTTTGCCACTGTCAAACTTTGCCACTGTCAGACTTTGCCACTGTCAGACTTTGCCACTGTCAAACTTTGCCACTGTCAGACTTTGCCACTGTCAAACTTTGCCACTGTCAGACTTTGCCACTGTCAGACTTTGCCACTGTCAGACTTTGCCACTGTCAGACTTTGCCACTGTCAGACTTTGCTACTGTCAGACTTTGCGACTGTCATGCCTTATCCGAGTTTCCCCTTCTTGTGATTTGAACAAAGACGGGAAACACTCATGAGACATATTTAAATGACAGATGTTTAATACAGCACTTATCTGTAACTAATATATCTGCATGAATTCAATTTGCTTCCACAGGAATCATTTAGGGGAACCATCCTTGACGGCCATCATGTCCAGGCCACAACAGATTTTGTAACTAAACTGTCTCGAGTGAGTTTCTATATTCTTTTATCTCTTCCAGTATAAATATTTTTTTCCTTCCCTCTAGGACGCACCCTGAAACAGAAACCCAGTGGCTCAAGGTGGAGCCACTGTTTAGATGTAAACTCAACAGAAAAAAATTCCTGAAAAAAAACATGTCTAAGCAGATAGAACAGATATACTGGTGGCCCTTCTTCTTAAACCCCCCCCCCCCCCCCCGGCAGTATGCAGCACCGGCACCTGTTCTCAGCACTACTGTAATAGACAGTTTGTGGTGAGTACTTGCCTTTCTTCTTCTTTCTATAAATAAAAATGCTGGGACACATTATGGTTATGAAATAACTTGCTCTTCAGTGTGGGTGGGTATGCAAGTATATACCTCAGATACCTCAACAAATCAGAGACCCATATAAAATTTATCTCAGATATCTCTATACAATTGATATCAGATACATCTATATAGTTGATCTCAGATAGCTTTATAAAGTTGATAGCAGATACCTCTAAAGAGTACTCAGACAGCTCTGTAAAGTTTATCTCAGATACCACTGTAAAGTTTATCTCAGATACCTTTACAAAACTGATGTCAGATACCTCTGTAAAGTTTACCTCAGACAACTCTATAAAGTTTATCTCGGGTACCTCTATAAAGCCCTTTAGTTTTATACCCATGTTTCAGAACCATATAGTGCAACTGCTATATAAAAGGAATTCACAACAATTACAAATGTTTGGTTGAAGTGAATGTGAAGTGCATGAAATTGTTTTGCATGGAGATGAGTTAAAAGATATCACATATTTGATGAATGAAACTTGTGCTGGTAGAGGAGAGGGTCAGGCATCAGACTTTGATGTGTTCCTCGAAAACTGCAATGACAAGCATGATGGCAAAACCAAGAAGGATTCCAATGTTGTTGAGAGTAAAGTTTAGGTGTCCAGTGGTTTTAATCAGCTGTGGAAGCTGTGGAAATCAGCACAAAACTAATATTAATGCCTTTCACATTGTGAACACACATCACATTGTAAACACACATCACATTGTAAACACATATATCATTGTAAACACACATCACACTGTGTAAACACACTTCACATCTGTAAACACACAGTCACCCATGTAAACACCATCACAGTGTAAACACAAATCACATAGTAAAGGAACATCACATTGTAAACACACATTGACATTGAAAACACACATCAACATTATAAACACACATCCCATTGGAAACACACATCACATTGTAAAACACACATCACATAGTATGACACACAATCAAACTTGTGCATTGTAAACACAGAGTATCACATTGCAAACACCACATTGATGTGTAACACGACTGCATCCCATGATGGCAAACACAGCATCAACATGTAAACACAGAAGGATCACATGTGTGAAACACACATCCCATTGGAAAATGCACAACATCACCAGACATTGTAAACACACATCACATTGTAAACACACATCACATTGTAAACACACATCACATTGTGAACACACATCACATTGTGAACACACATCACATTGTAAACACATATCACATTGTAAACACACATCACACTGTGTACACACACATCACATTGTAAACACACATCACATTGTAAACACACATCACATAGTAAACACACATCACATTGTAAACACACATCACATTGAAAACACACATCACATTATAAACACACATCCCATTGGAAACACACATCACATTGTAAACACACATCACATTGTAAACACACATCCCATTGGAAACACACATCACATTGTAAACACACATCACATTGTAAACATACATTCCATTGTAAAATGACATCACATTGTAAACATACATCACATTATAAACACACTTCACATTGTAAACACACATCACATGGTAAACACACATCACATTGTAAACACACATCACATTGTAAACATTTCCTACAGGCTATTAAAGAACAAGCTGATAAGGTAAAATCTTGTTAAAATGTCCTGTAGGAAATTAACAAACTCACTCTTCTTCTTTTGTTGTCTCAAAGATACCAAGTTTTAGATTAATGTAATGGAACAAACTCAATAATAAGGTAAAGTCTTGTTAACAATACAAATGCTTCTTCTTCTTCTGTTGCTGTCTCAATGATACCAGGTTTTAGATTAGTGTAACAAAAGCAAATAATTCTTTTTCTTCTTCTGTTGTCTCAATGATACCAGGTTTTAGATTAGTGTAACAAAAGCAAATAATTCTTTTTCTTCTTCTGTTGTCTCAATGATACCAGGTTTTAGATTAGTGTAATAAAACAAGCTAATTCTTCTTGTTCTGCTTTTGTTGTCTCAATGATACCAGGTTGTAGATTAGTGTAACCGTTTTACCCCTAGAAGCATCAACACTGGCACTTCTTCTTGTTCTTCGCGTTCACCAGCTATACACTGGTGGAAAGTTCTGGTTGTTCATCCACTTCTGAACTGCAGTTCTGCTCCAGAACCTGAGTGTTGTGTGTGCATCAGTTTTACAGATCTGATTCACTTGAATGCAGACTGTTGGTTCCTTGCCTCTCAGGCAGATGCACTTCGATTTCAAAGGAAGCTCCCCAATTATTCGACTCTTACAGCATGCTTTTGGGGAGGCAGAGGGTCTATTCTTGTTTTCCCCACGATGGGGCCCCGGAACCCACACGGGGAGCTGGCACTTCTATTATCTGCCATGCCTCCATAAATTCTGCTGAACCACCGAACCTCTGAACCGCTGAACCACTGCAGCAAGCGTGACTTGTTTATGAGATTCCTTGCTCAGAGCTCTGACTGTCTGCACATGTGCAAGTGTTTAATACGTCCACCAATGGCTATAGTTTTTAAAATAGCAAATGTGTGTGTTTTCTTGTGATAAACTGGCTTTAATTATAGAAACGGCCATGTCATGATTTCCCATTACCCACTGTGGTCTGCAGTGGCCAGGTGTTAGGAGTCAAAGATGAGTCATTCTTTAAAATTTATTTAATCACAGAAAGATATAACCCAGGTTACTCTTTGCTACAATTGTTCTTACTGCCTGCTCCATTTCATCCGTGAGTAATATTTGTTTATGACTGAAAATAAAAAAATTTTGAACGTGCCTGTGCTGGTGTTTGTCTAATCCTTTTTATTATTTTTTTAGTACAATTATAAATAAAATAATAAAAAATTCTGTAAACTTTTTAGAAACAAAATACTAAGGACATCTTTTGTGAACTTTCATAAGCAGTTTGTATATCTACATTTGAGAATTTAATTAATATGATAACAGGCATTTATTAGGTTAAGAATACATCCTGACCAAAACGTATCTCCATACTATCTGTTTCTCTTGTTAAGAATCTATTGTGGGAGGGGGGGCCTTGCCATATACTTAAGGGGGGCACAGGAGTCTTGGCAAACTTGCTATATATGCCGGGAAGGGCCGAAGGAACTTAAGGTTGGAGACCACTGGTCTATACCCACATCTCACAGTCAGGAAAAATAAACAAATCTCACTATCAATAAAAAAAAAAAAAAAACAACAAACAGAAACAACAACAACACAGCTTCAGTGAACTGGCTACTTACTAAATCCACCAGTGCTATATACAAAAACATGCCAGAGGTCACAGCAAAGATCCACCTCTGTGCTTCCTCTCCATGACTCACAGATAGACTGACGTACAGACCAGCAAACGCTGTCAGAGCTGATGCCAGGTTCAAGATCACTGCCTTCTTGAAGCTCAGCCCTGACTGCAGCAGTACAGCAAAGTCTCCTGCCGACAGAGGACAATGGGTAGATGTCAGTGATAGCAGAAAATCACTGTTAGTAATTAAATAACAGATGTTTAATTTAAAGAACATCATTATGGAAAGAATCATTTAGATAACTGTACTTTCCCAAGTATAAGACGCACTTATTTTCTAAAAATATAGGGTCCAAAACAAAGGTGTGCCTCTTAAACAAGGCTAGCAGCAGATTTTCAACAAATAATTTGTTGAAAACCATCTGTACAGGGTCTCATTTAGGAATACTAGTTCAGGGGCCACATAAAATGTGAAAAAAAAAATAATTAAAAGCTCTTTCCCACTGTAATAATTTTTTTTACACTTGTCTTTGAGCTCACTGCTTCAGACTTGTTACCTTAGGTTACCTTTTACCTATAAATGTCTCAGACATCCCTCCCCCCCGCTCCACCCCCGAATTTCTGGTCCCCAAAAACAAGGTGTGTCTTATACATAGGATTGTCCTATACTTAGGGAAATACGGTAATGTTTAATGAAACAGGGTCAGTATTTGTGGACTGATAATTTAGATGTTAAAGGTGAGAGGTCGTAATCTAGTGCTGTCGTTTTGGTATTTAGAGGTGAAGGTTAAGGGTCTGTTAAAACATGGTACACTCCCAACTGGAATGCAGCCATCTTTGAAGTAAATAACCCAGTGCTTCAAGTGTGTGATGCTCATGATCTCATCATCAAAAGTTTTCTCAGTCTTCACAACAGTTTCCATGGGGAACCAGCAAACTTTCTGGCAACAATGCCACTCTAGTTATTCTCTCATTTCAAGGCAAACGAACATTCAGTGTGTGACTATATTGTTCACTCACTGGCTCGCTGCCAGGAACTGACGCTCTCTTTAGGAAGAAACAAATTTGAGCATACATATGAAGTCTCCTACACACTTCCAAACAGAAGACACCCTTATTTTATTTGTTTTTATGGGAAGAATTAGGATCAGATACTTTCTGAACAGGGACAGCTGCCTTGATGTAGCGGCTAGATGCTTGCCTGTGGATCAGAAGGTTGTGTGTTCATATCCACATGGTGCTGGATATTTTTCATGCATGACCTTGGCTCCCAGCCATAAATGGATGTCAGGCAAAGTCCTGGGAAGTAAAGGTGGCCAGCGTGATGCTGACCACATTGCTAACTGAGTGTGATTGGTCTAAAATATAGTTCTTGCACTATATGCCAAATACCTCTGCCTAAAGGCAAGAAAAAGAGTCCATAACTTTTACTTTCTCAACAGAAATATTTGTCTTATTACTCCATGTGTGAACCCAGTGATAGGGAACAGAACCTTGCTAAAACATTACAGAAATTGAGTTCAGCTCATAATGCTTGTTTAGGCCACAAAAAAACACTTTATCCTCGTCATCAAATGCCTAGTCGACTGGCGTGGGCGATCACGCAGCTCCAAATCTTGCAAGTTTCAGTATTATCTATCAATTGGTGTAGGGAAATCCTTCCTTGTCTTCCCCTATCTCTTTCTCTGACCGTCACAGTATGTTACAGTTTTTGTCTTCTAAAATTGTAACCCCCCCCCCCCCCCCCCCCCCCCCCCCCAAAAAATACTGCTCCTTGCTTTGGTTGTGATAAGATGCCTTCTTGTTATAGACAGTTTCAAAACATGTGGATTTTTCACCTATATTTTTTCTATACTTCTTCTCTAGAAAGTAGACATTTAACTTGAAAGTAGGGTAAACCTCTACAATTTTATGGACCACAAATTCATATCTAATCTAAACTAAACTTCCAATAAATTTCACAATTAACAACCATCTCAAAGGAAACAAATGTAAAATAACTGTACACATTTAGTTATCATTTATCCCTACTCCTATTATAAACAAACCCGCATCAAAGCCCAGATTGAACAAGCAGACCAGAACACACAAAAATCATCTTATAAACAATAAATCACTACAGACATAGTATATTAGGAATTCTTACCCAACTCATGTGGCAATTCATGACAGAAGACTGCGATGCTTGTGGCAATTCCAGCAGATATACTACTGGTGAAAGAGGCCCCAATCGCCAGTCCATCCGCAAAATTGTGGATACCATCCCCGATGATGATCATTAGTGCAACAGGTGTCAGACCTGGTTTTAGAGAGATAAAAATTAGATTTACTCTATGAATATCTGAATGTTTTCTCCAGTTAGGTCGAGAACCTCTCTCTCTGTTTTTCTCTCTTCACACGCATTTTCTCTCATTCACATTCTGACTTAATCACACTCTCTTTCTCTGTCTCACTCTCCTCTCTTTTTCTCTATCTCATTCATACATACACATTCTCTCTCCTTCTCACACATGTTAGATCTCATTCTTTCTATAGCTGTCTCTTTCATTCACACAATCTATCCTACCTCTGTCACTCTCTCTCTTATTCCCACATTCTCTCTCACTCACTCTCCCTCTTTATCTCACACTCACTCTCTATCTTCCTCTCTGTGTTTGTGCGTGGATTTCAATGTCTCTGTGTGTGTTTCTGTATGTGAGTATGTCTGAGTGTGCCTGCATGTTTGTCACTGTGTCTATGTGTGCATATGTATGTCTGAATGCAGGGATGTCTGTCTGTCTTTATATACACACACATACATGTGCACACATGCATGCACGCACACACACACTCACACAGGTAGAACAAGGCCAACCTTCAATTACAACAAAGTATCTTCTTGTTGGTCAAGTTTTGTTATTAGTAATTTGTGCTTTCAAGGTAATTTATTGTTCTATTTGGTCCTATTTTGGTACTTCTTTGACTGGCATATGTTTTTTTCTTTATTTCCAGAGATGCCAAGTAAACTAGTATCCACCACAGCCCTACTTGTTTATTAGTGTTGAGTGCCTTATTTAGCTGACAGTGCACACAACTTGCTGATAGGGAGTTGGGGATTGTTTGTTGTTTATTATTTATAAGCAATATATATCTCCTCTGACCTGAGAAGCCATTTAACCTGGCATATCATTTGTGACTAACCACTGTCAATGCTGCTTAACTGGCATGATCACAGTGAACTGTCTATGAGAAACAATCAGGGGTTCTTTTGGTTCTGTTTCCGCATGTGCAGTGTCTAGGAGGCTCTGGATATCTTTACATTTACTAACAACAGCATTGAGCTGAGGTTTTCTTGTGCAGCGGAAACAGCGCTTTTTTTTTAGGACCATCCTCATTTTCTGTCACTGAGGAGGTCACAAAGTTGAGTATACATTATATTTGGCACAAGGGAGTGATATCCCTTCAATTCTCTGCTCCATTCAAAGTAATTGATTGGCTATACTCTGAATAACGGTCCTAAATTATCTACGCAGAAAATGAACCCTAACAGAGCCTCAGTTATATCTAAAATTCGCATTTCTTTTGCGGCGAATCAACCGCGTCAAAAGTAGGGATTAATTGCGCACACAATTTTTGCGAAACGCAACAAATTTTTTTACGACGATTCATCGGCGGCTAAAAAGGATTAACTACGGACGAAAAATTAGTGAAATGCAAGAATACACCTGATAGGGCTATCCTACGGCAGGGCCTCAGTTATATGTAAGTTGCGGACCACTTTCTGGCGACTATAGTGCCACCTTTGAGAGTATTCAATGCGCCACAACACGCGGCGCGGAAAGGGCTAAATTGGATGGCTGGGACTCACAAGCAGCAGCTACCGCTTCTCCTGTAGCTTCCTCCAATGTATTCGCTCATGAGTCCTAGCCATCTAGTTTAGCCCCTTCCGCGCCGCACGTAGCAGCGTGGGGATACTTTCGGAGGTGGCAGTATAGTCGTCGGAAAAAAAGTCTTACACATTACATGAGCTACTTCTTCTGTCGCAACTACCAGCGTGGTCGCAATCGCCACGGTCACTGCATGGTCGGCCTAGTAGAGCGCCATACTGGCCGCTGCTGGTTTGAAGTTGTCCAGAGGCGAGATGCGTGTACATTAGAACGCATCATTGCTGATCACGTGTTGCCCTGAACGAGAATTGTGACTGACGCTAAACGAGTCTACAGCAACGTTGGGAAATTAAAACATGGCATTTACGAGATCACCCTGTATTTGGCGGAGTCGCAATCGCGGCACAGCAAGAAAGAACAGATATTCGGGCACTATTTGCAACTTCTGTGCCACAATTTTCACATATAAACGATTTAATTATCGGTAAGTAGTAGACTTCGCCCTTTTCCTCATACATTTCCTTCCTTATATTTTGCGAGTTACAACTTTTAAATCTTTGTAGGGCATGACGTAATGAGGCTCTGTTAGGGTTCATTTTCTGCGTAGATAATTTAGGAACATTATTTGGAGGATAGCCAATTGATTTACTCCTCTACAATTACATCAAATAAAAATGTACAAAATGTAAATCAATTCATGCCAGTTTTCTGAAAATTCTAGAAGTTACATTAGAGTGGCACTATGAATGTTAACTATTTTATTCATAACACATAATAATGTCAGTTGATAGAAACTGGATGAACATTTTACTTAATCTTACCAAAAGTTTTGTTACTTGGCTTTTGGTCAGGTAGCATCCCTGGCGAGTCTGCATGCACAACATAGTTCTTGCCTTTAAACAACAAAATCCCAGTCAGTGTTTGGAATGTCAGGATGGACGATCAAAAAATGATTAGTAATTAATGGTTACACAACAATGAAATGAAGTATTAGTACTGAAATGTAAAGCTTTTCCCCCTTCAGTTTTAGAGCTGTATAGAACTTTAACCTGATATCACAAGTCAGGGATTCCATTTTAGAACAAATACCATATGTTCTGAATAAAGAAGTCTATACTTCTGCATCATCATCACCTTCTTCTTCTCTTCCTCATCAGTAAAGTGTTAGTATAAGACAGAATCCACTATCTTCTCTTTCTAATGTGCCTTCCAAGTTGATCTTCATTTCTGTAAAGTTGTTCTTGATGCCATGGCTCTGTGTTGTTCTCCATGTTCTCCCTTTTCCTCTGCTTATTGTATATTTTATTGTGGCTCTGTATGAAAAGTGATACCAGGTCATTCTTCAAATACATTTAATCCAAGCCATTTAATCCAAGCCATTTATCCATTTCTGTGACTAGTTTCAGTTGTAATCATTTTCAGACTCAGTTTCAGAAATGTCTGCGCAGTGGACAAAATAGTGCATTGTCAGGAATTGTTGACAACAGCACCAAGTATAGCGGTTCTGATATTTTTGGATCTGCTTTGGAAACAGGCATCGGTGCAAGGACTGATCAATAAACATTCATGCCTGAGTGAAAGGTTTCATTATGTACACATATGCATCTGTAGTGAAAGGTTTAAAAAAAAAAAAGAAAGTGTATGATATTCAGGTGTGTTGGGAAATTACCATCTTGACAGATTTGCTGGCTCTGCCCAGCTGGGTGGAATACTGATGCATGATAAGGCAGACATGATCAAGACCTTATAGGAGCTTTTGTACAATTTCAAACAGAAAAATGATCCATCACAACCTGGTGACAGTGATGCAATAGGGAGCAACGAGGGGCTAGGAGTGACAAGGGGTGAGGAGTGATGAGAGGGGGAGGAGTGACGAGGGTGGAGGAGTGACGAGGGGAAGGAGTGACGAGGGGCTGTGGCTGATACTTGATGCTCAGAGGAAAGGCAAGTTAGACATATAAATGAGACTGCTACAGGCACTACTGGTATAGGTACTGCAATGACTGCTGAAGATGGGGATGGAGTGCTTATGGCAATGCCTCTTCATCTACTGATAGTGCTGGAAGACAGGTTAAAATCCCTTGTCTACATCTTCTGATATAGCTGGAAGACAGACCCAATCCCTTGTCTACATCTTCTGATTTAGCTGGAAGACAGGTTAAAATCCCTTGTCTACATCTTCTGATATAGCTGGAAGACAGACTCAAATCCCTTGTCTACATTTTCTGATTTAGCTGGAAGACAGGTTAAAATCCCTTGTCTACATCTTCTGATATAGCTGGAAGACAGACTCAAATCCCTTGTCTACATCTTCTGATTTAGCTGGAAGACAGACTCCAATCCCTTTTCTACATCTTCTGATTTAGCTGGAAGACAGGCTCAAATCCCTTGTCTACATTTTCTGATTTAGCTGGAAGACAGACTCAAATCCCTTGTCTACATCTTCTGATATAGCTGGAAGACAGACTCAAATCCCTTGTCTACATTTTCTGATTTAGCTGGAAGACAGACTCAAATCCCTTGTCTACATTTTCTGATTTAGCTGGAAGACAGACTCAAATCCCTTGTCTACATCTTCTGATTTAGCTGGAAGACAGATTCAAATCCCTTGTCTGCATCTTCTGATTTAGCTGGAAGACAGACTCAAATCCCTTGTCTACATTTTCTGATTTAGCTAGAACACAGACTCAAATTCCTTGTCTACATCTTCTGATTTAGCTGGAAGACAGACTCAAATCCCTTGTCTACATCTTCTGATTTAGCTGGAAGACAGACTCCAATCACTTGTCTACTTCTGATAGTGCTGGAAGACACAATCAAAACACTAATTATGGCATACTAATGACCTTCATCTTGCTCACCTGATTTCTCCTTGGGTGGTTCTGCATCCTCTTCAAAAGTTGGAGACTTCTGTACAAAACAAAACAAAAACAAAAACAAATAAACAATACAAATAAAGATGACTGTGACATTTGTAACTGAAAGGAAATCATCCTTTAAAAAAATAGAGCTAACTTTCTGTTGATTTATGTAAACAACTAATTATGAAATTGTTAAAATGTTAACACTGGTTTCCATGGTTACTCTGTCTGCCCCAATTATGGGATCAGCTACCATCCATGTGAACCAAGCAAGACATGCTGTGTTCTTATATCTTCTACATTTGGTCTCAGCATTCTAAGAAATCTGGCTAGATTGTTTAGTAACCTAAGTAACAAACTAAATATTGTATCAATGTGATTACTGCCTCTTTAGGTTACCTGCTCCAACAAAAATCAAATGGGATAGAGAGGCCCTGCAATCATTTGTCACCTTCATAACAAAGGTCAGCAGTAATTATCACATTAAAAGGTGGTACACAATCTTTACTGTCTATATGTAGTTTTTCACATCAATTTTTGAATGTTTTTTCTTTTAAAAGGATTGTCTTATTAGCCAGAAAAAAGAAATAAGTAACTCGTTGAAATGAGAGGTTTCCTTACGTCATCTGTGTCTCCTTTTCCCATCTGCCATCCACTAAGATCTTATCAAAGTGCCATCTATGCTGTTATGTTCTTCCATCATACAATTACTTTTGGTCATCATGGTGGATAGGTGGTGTGTGCTGCTTTTAGTCATGGCAAGTTTTCACTTATGACAATAGGTCATTGTTGCTTTCCCCCACCATATATAGACTGAAAAGATATAGTTTCAAGGCCAACTACTGAGCTGAGTGTATGACACAACATTGGAAGATGCAGATTTCATTTGGAATGTTTTTTGACTGTGCTCAAAGTGGCTTCTTTTGTAAACTGGAGATTCATAAACTAGTGAGGAACCTCTTAATAGAGAGCTGGTGGTGCCTTATGCACTTAACTACATGTGCAACTACTGATCTGTTGTAATTGCTCCTGCTTTCATTGATGATGAACTGCATTTCTGTGTTGGACTGTATGTATCAGCACTGTATGGCTGCTTTATATATTTAATGTATATGAATACTACTGGCTTTGCTGAGACTACAGTCTCTGTGAACTGAGAGACTGATGGAGATTCTGTGTAGTTTTTGTTGGTCAAGAAATGGGACGACTTTGAGGTGATCTGTTTGTTGTGAACCTGGAACTGCAATTGCCTGATTGAATCAATAATCATTGTGTTCTTATCACAACTGCCAAATACTTACAGCATGGCTGTTGGGATACATCATGATGTCTGTATCATCTGCACCATGGCTGTGCTGGAAGCAAACACAAAAAACATGGTCATAATGAAACATCATCAAAGGAAGCTTCATAAACAAACAAACTTATCAAACTGTACAGGTCTACCTACACATTTTCATCTACCTGCAAATCTACTTATCATACATTACACTTTACTTACTTACTTAGTCAATCCTTTTCTACCTTGGGGTGTAGAGGCTTGCTAGAGAGATCGCCAGACTTCTCTATCAACAGTTCTTCTTTTCAGCCTTTTTTTTTTCTATTTCAATCCTCTGTCAGTCACTTACTGTTGGATGGTCTTCTAACTCCACCCAGAAAAACTTTTTATTATCATCATGATCATCAATTACCAGCTGGCATGTGTGATGATGACTCTCCACAACTTGCACTCCTCTAACAACTTGTATCAGGTATGTGCAGACACCCCCTCTATGCCATAACAAAAGTCTATGACAAATCTTCTGTTAGCCTCCACTTTCTCTCTTTCCATAAATCTTTTCAGTTACCATAATTGCTAAAATTTGTTCTTTTCATGACATGGTCAATAAATGATTACTGCCTCTTGTGGCATTTGTGAAAAGTGGTGTTTGGGGCTTCAGATCTTTCACAACAACTGGATTACTCATTTGGGCTGTACAAATAATTAAAAAAATTTCCTGTATTATCACATCTCTGAGACAGACATGCAGTTTTTGTCTTCTTTACTATTATTATATAGTAATCCATTATGCACCTATGTGCCTATTGCATATGACACACAGTGAGACAATTTGTTAAATGTAAATCTAGAAAGACTTCTTTTTTTTCTAAAATCCAAGCGTAAATAAGATGGAGCGAGACCTTAGAATACATTGAGAAGAAACAAAGACATGAGTAAATAAAATTAGAAGAACATGGATGGAACAGCAAGAGATAACAACAAATCGTTTTTCTGTCTATCCAAACTCTGCCCCCTCCCTCCCCTCCCCCCTTGCCCTTTTTTTTCCCTTCTTCACTTCTTCAGGTCTGACCCCCAAAAAATTACAATATCTAAAAATGGATGGCAGACACAGTTTGACCTCCACATAATTATTTTAAATTGGGTCACCTGGCCACACAAGCCTGGTGTAACCTGCAGTGCTTGTAAATATGGAGCTGTAATTTGCCAAAAGATGGGATAACCTGATATGAACTGGAGAGGACAAATACATTAACTAGGGATAAAGCATACTTTGTACTGAAAGGATATCTGCTTTGGAAAGACATTAGGAGGAGGATATCCTAGAACTTAAAAAAGAACTGTGATAACGTCTATAGCTGAGAATGTACACATGTTAAAAACAACTACAGAAAAGCTAAACAACATTTATAATATGTTTTTAACAGGAAAGATTAAAAAATTGGGCTGGGCCCATTTAATTTAGAAATGGACCGGAAAACCGTGGACAAAACTGAAGTGCTGTTAAAATGCAGGCATGCTGTGCATCTGTTTAACAAAGTATTTCAAAATTTTTAGTAGATGTACAAATTTATTCAGAAGCAATAGATGAGATAATTTGACACAGAACAAGTGGAAGACCACACAGAATATGGAAAGAGATTACTGCCTCTTTAGGTACCTGCTCCAACAAAAATCATTTGGGATGGAGAGGCCCAATACGCCTGAAAGTGTGGAAAAGGGTTCTTTACTTTTTAATACAGTACAAATCTTAGTCTCAATAATTACTTACATTACATTAAAAACCAACTACAGAAAAGAAAATGATAAAAATAAATGAAGAAAAATGAGCTGAACCTATGAAAATCAAAAATGGACAAGGAAAACCCTGAAAGAAGCTGACATGCTAGTAACAGACAGGCAGTGTGCAGTTAAGTGTGTGAGTGCGACGAGGGGGAGGGAAGACAAAGTATTCCAGATCCCTTATTTAATTATACAAAATCATTCCCGGAAGGTGCATCTTTTTAGTCAAGTATTTGAAAACTACAGGGAGTACATGATTTTTTTACATTTAAAAAACAACAATATTCTTAAATTGACAGAATACGTTATTAACTCATCATCTACTTATCATATCACAATAGGCAGACCAATTAAATGTCACGAGACCCAAAAACAGATTTAGTTTTCAAAATTAAAGTATAGTTTGAGGTTTTGAACAACAGATCAACATCATGGCACACAGGTAGTAACCCATAAGTGCTCCGTTTTTCTTCTAACCCAAGTCTGAGTCCGAAGAAGCTCAGCACAATCCATAGGCTCTGTAGCTCCGGCAAGAATCCTGAAATACTTTGAGTAGGTTTTTAACTCCAAATTTTGCCAGGGCAGCGCCGTTAGGCTCTTCTTCTTGATTTCCAACTCTTAAGGGATTTTTTTAGTGCTTAACAATGCACACAGGCATCCAATCTCACTACCCAGAGACTACCCAGAGACCAGGGGGGAATTCCTAGAAGTTCAAGTCAATGTGAAAAAATCCCAGCCCTTACTAAGGATTGAACCCGGAACCTCTGGCGCTTGAGGCAGACACCATGACTCGAGACCATGCACCCCTCCTCTCCCCCCCCCTCAAAAAAAACACAAATTAAAGTATGATAGACTTTGAACAATTACAGAATAACAAAAATAACAAAACCTGGCCCTTGGCAATGTATAGTGATGTATGGGGGGTGGGGGGGGTGGGCAGGGTGGGGCCATAACCCAACCTGGCCCTTGGCAATGTATAGTGATGTTTGGGAGGGGGGGTGGGGTGGGTAGGTGGATTTATAGTGATGTATGGGGGGTGAGCAGAGTGGGGCCTCCATAACCCAACCTGGCTGTATACTGGTGTAAGTGTGGATCTCCATAGCTAAATGGTTTGCTGTTTGTCTTGTTCTCTAAAGGTCATGGATTCTCTTCACAGACTCTGTTGTTTTGTCTAGTGCAGTTATTATGGAGGCTACAGGGGATCACTGACAGTGTTACAGAGTTTGTGCCTTATGGGATGCTATTGATAGGTGGCCAGCTATTCTACATAGAGAATATCTATAGAGAATAAAATCCAGTGGAAAGAAGTCAATCCTGTTAACTTTAAATCTTGTTTGGGATAGAATTTTATTATGTGTGTTTATTTAGAAAATTTCTTATTACATGTTTTTGAAATCAATTACTAACTTTTTTACATAATTCTAACACTATTCCATATTTGTTCTGTAAAACTTTACTCCATGTTTTTTAAGTTAAAAAATAAACATTTCAAAATCTGGAATAGGAAAACTGAACAAGAAATAAATATGAGTAAATCAGGTTGCATATTAGGTAACATTTTGTTTTGTTTTTTGAAAAAAAAAAAAATCAATGCCACAACCAGGAACAAAAGCCAACTGAATTACTTACTGTTTCACTCTTAAAATTGTCACATACTGTTTCACTCTTAGCATGGTCACATACTGTTTGACTTTTAAAATTGTCAAGTCCCAACTTTGATAATAACAATAACAATAGTTGAAATGTTGCTAGTAACAACTGAAAAACTTAATTAATTAATTATGCAACTCTGAGGTAGCGAGACTAGTGAATGAGTTTACGAATACATTTTTCAAGTGCCTGTGTGGTGAAGTTTTAAAGCCAGTTGCCTGACACTCTGAAGGTCACTGGTTCATTTCATGGCTACGTCATTAGGTTAAGGAGTGCTACTTTAGAGACATCCCTCAGGATTGTCACCAGAGCTATGGAGTTTGTGTTTAGTGCAATGCTTTCGAAACGCAACTAGTCATTTTGAGGAGAGAGACTGAGAAATATGTAATAAAAACCAGTGCAATGACTTTAACCTGGATTTCAACCTTTTACCTTCATGAATACATTTTTACTTACAATGTGTCTTGTTTTTACCCCGAGGTCTAGTTTAACCTTATCTTGTTCAACCTTTCTGACTTCTATCCTTGTTTATGGTCTAACTTAAAAAGTAAGTTTTCAGTAACTCAACACTTTTTATAAATTAATGTAACCAAGGACAGGATGATATCAAACTCCAGTATTTCCTCTCTGCTAACAAGGCATGAAACAAAATTAATACAAATGTACTAAATAACACTAATATAATAATTACCCTAATAATAATAAAACACATTCAGCAACCTAAAACTATGTCCTCATTGTCTCTGTGCTCCTTCAAACATCATCCATAAAACATCAGGTCTTCAAGGGCAAGGAGAGACTGCAACCAACTTCTCATGGGAACAATCAGTCATGGTACACTAGGGTGGCTACTGCATAGGGAGACTGAGCAGCTTAGAAAATACCCAGTGTGCAGATATAATGGTTGTGACAGTATTGTCAGGGCTATTCAACTAAGTTTAATCAGGGGTCACAATTTTGAACATGAGGGTCGTCACAGGCCAGAGGCTCAAGCTTACAATGATGATTATTACAAGACAAACTGGCAATGAACTGAGGACCACTTGCTAGACCTCTATGGTCAGATTTGGCTCACAGGCGCTTGAATTGTCCTGGCATATCATCACTGGGGGTGGGCAGTTGATTGTCCTGGCATATGATATCACTGGGAAAAAGGGGGTGGGCAGATGAATTGTCCTGGTATGTCATCACTGGGGGTGGGCAGTTGAATTGTCCTGGCATGTCATCACTGGGGGTGGGAAGGTGAATTGTCCTGGCATATGATATCACTGGGTGGGGAGGAAAGGGGGGGGGGGTGAGTTATATTGTCCTGACATATGATATCACTGGAAAAAAGGGGGTGGGCAGGTGAATTGTCCTGACATGTCATAACTGGGGGTGGGCAGTTGAATTGTCCTGGCATATCATAACTGGGGGTGGGCAGTTGAATTGTCCCGGCATATCATAACTGGGGGTGGGCAGTTGAATTGTCCTGGCATATCTTAACTGGGGGTGGGCAGTTGAATTGTCCTGGCATATCATAACTGGGGGTGGGCAGTTGAATTGTCCTGGCATATCATAACTGGGGGTGGGCAGTTGAATTGTCCTGGCATATCATAACTGGGGGTGGGCAGTTGAATTGTCCTGGCATATTATAACTGGGGATGGGCAGTTGAATTGTCCTGGCATATCATAACTGGGAGTGGGCAGTTGAATTGTCCTGGCATATCATAACTGGGGATGGGCAGTTGAATTGTCCTGGCATATCATAACTGGGGATGGGCAGTTGAATTGTCCTGGCATATGATATAATGGAGGGGAGGGGGTGGGGGTTATATTGTCCTGACATATGATATCACTGGGGAAAAAGGAGGGGGGCAGTTTAAATTGTTAAACCTATCACTTTGACTTGGTGTAGTTATGGTTTTCCGGTTGTTGCCAGTCTCTACTCTTCTGTAGAAACCCAGTACTTGTCACCATCGAGTGGACTCTTGCACGCGTAATTGAAGTGTACTCATGCCTTAGATACTTTACCATGTCAGAAATGTCCTTCTTACATACAACAACTACCAAGAGTGAAGTTAGGACTAATGATGACACATTATTGTCTAATCTGTTAGTCAGTACATACAAAAGAAACCTTTAGCTGAACATTGATAGGAGATGCCAAAGTTGATGGACAGGATTCCATCCATGATATCATAGTGAATGAACAAGATAGAACAGAATGGAAAGATAGACTGTGAGCCCTTTGTGACATATAATGGCCGAACAGTACAATGATGGTATATTTCATTACAACAACATGTGACATCTATAAGCAAATGTTATTTCTTTACTTACTGAGTGGCCGCCATATCTGGACATAATCGTCTCCAGGATGTAGAAGAAATACAAGCCTAATAATTAAAAGTGTATTGTGTGAATTTATGAAAATGTTATCATTTTCAGATGTATACAGATCTAGTGATCAGCACACACTATATGAATTCATAAAATTTTCATTTATTCTAAATGTTCACAGATTTGAAGATGTGACTTTTCATTTAACCGGAAAAAAAAATATTATGGTAATTAACATATATGATTCCTACATAATGAGATATTTTATTATAAATTGAAAATACATGTTATCTGGTTGTAAATACTTCCTCGCAAGAAATCATCACCATTCTGTGCCACGCCATTATTCACAGGCTGTTATAGTTTGTTTAACATTTAGCGGGAAGACTCCACTAGGGCTGTACGGCTAGTGCAGTCACTGTGACCTGTGCAAATTAGGATTCTATTTTTGTCTTGACAGTCACAATTCTATCACCTGACCTAAGATTCAAACCTGGGTCTGTCTCTCTAATGAGACACCCCAGTGATCTTAACGACTCAGCCATCTGCTTCTAATTTATCACTTCTAACAACAACAAAAAATCATTATTTAACTGTTGGTCTGAAGTAGCTGATGGAGTCCTTATACACTCCAGTTGTTCTTTAAATCAAAACAGTTAAGGGCCTGGAGGAGTTAAAATAATAACTGTGTTTTACAGGAGTTGAGTAACGGGTAATGCAATATACCTTGTGTTATTTGTATGAGACATCTGTTGATATGTTGCACAGACAAGAACAGATATATAACTGCCATCTTTGCAAGGCTGAAGAGAAGATATGTCATAATCTATAGTCTTGTCACTTTGCTGAATTGTTGAGTTAAGAACTTACATCATAGCACTCTGGAGTTTCCTATATGTACTCCGTCCTCACTTTCAGCATCCAGTAAAGAGTTACAGTTCCGATTGTGCCAGTAGCAGTTTAATTATATGTCAGGTTTTTAGAGTGTTGACCAGATTGCCAGGTCATTCCTAGCTGTACAATTCTCTCCAGACCGTAGTGATCTCTTCATGCCTCTGTGTTGTTCACTTGCTCCCAAAGGGTCTTGTCTTTGATTAGCTTATCATGCATAAATTTATCATCTAATTTGATCAGAACCAGCCAGTCTCTCTGTCTGTTTATTTCACAAATTTGTATTGGTGTTCTGGATGATAATTAGATTTCGTGTGATTGTTTTTGTGTCACAGCGTCCCAGTACTTCCCTTACTGTGGTGATTACTATCATTGGTGCTTAGTCAGTTCCTCAGGGAAGTAAACGTTGATTACTCCATCATAAGTTATTGACAGCTGTTCAGGCTTCAAACCTCTAGGCCTTTGTGCAGGTTCCAGGCCCCCATTTTAGGAAGGTGGGGAAAGAAGCAACCCATTATATCCCCATCAAGTTGGCATATCTGACTGAGAAGCAAGCAACAATCAGTCTGCCTACAGATCTGTAATATGGATGTGCATGCAAAATTAAAGTTCCGGAACAAGACTCAAAAGTGGACGAAAAACCAGAACTTTTCACCGGAGTTTACAGCCAGTGAATGCCTAGAAGCCAAAGAAACTTCCAGGAACCAGGGAACGTGTGAGTCTATAATCAAGTGTGAGAAAGAGAGAGCTGATATGGGGGAGGGGGGGGGGGGGGTCTGAACATGTTTTTATTTTGCAAAATCATCATAGGCAGATGGGGCACATACTGGAAATGGGAGTGGAGGTTGGTTTGAGGTTGTTAGTACTTTCTGTGGCACAGCATGGTGGTCTTGCTGTGTTCAGCTGTTTGTCTGCCAGTGCACAGATGATGGGACTAATTTCAATTTCTAGATAAATGATTTCACTAAAAAACAAGGAAAGCACAATCAATAAAATGAAGAAGGTGCTAAAATATGTTGAGGGCTTACCATTGGAATCAAATGTAGAATGGCATCAGCAAACAAGGTCCCAACAGCAAGGCCAACAAATGTAGACATGAGGATGTCGTAAACTGTCTGTGACACACATGGTATGAAGATAACTCCAAACACAGAACACAAGCAGATGATGGCTGTGGCAATTGAGGAATATCCATATCCTGAACAGAAGTTGATAGAATACAGTCAGTGATTTCTGCACAGGAGAATCTCCACCATCAATTGGTCTGACTTTTGAGGCTGCTGATACTACAGAAGTAGTTGTGTAAATACTGGATCAGAAGTAGTTGTGTAAATACTGGGTCAGAAGTAGTTGTGTAAATACTGGGTCAGAAGTAGTTGTGTAAATACTGGGTCAGAAGTAGTTGTGTAAATACTGGGTCAGAAGTAGTTGTGTAAATACTGGGTCAGAAGTAGTTGTGTAAATACTGGGTCAGAAGTAGTTGTGTAAATACTGGGTCAGAAGTAGTTGTGTAAATATTGGTTCAGAAGTAGTTGTGTAAATACTAGGTCAGCAGTAAATGTGTAAATACTGGGTCAGAAGTAGTTGTGTAAATATTGGGTCAGAAGTAGTTGTGTAAATACTGGGTCAGAAGTAGTTGTGTAAATACTGGGTCAGAAGTAGTTGTGTAAATACTGGGTCAGAAGTAGTTGTGTAAATACTGAGTCTAAAGAAGTTGTGTAAATACTGGGTCAGAAGTAGTTGTGTAAATACTGGGTCAGAAGTAGTTGTGTAAATACTGGGTCAGAAGTAGTTGTGTAAATACTGGGTCAGAAGTAGTTGTGTAAATACTGGGTCTAAAGTAGTTGTGTAAATACTGGGTCAGAAGTAGTTGTGTAAATACTGGGTCAGAAGTAGTTGTGTAAATACTGGGTCAGAAGAAGTTGTGTAAATACTGGGTCAGAAGTAGTTGTGTAAATACTGGGTCAGAAGTAGTTGTGAAAGTACTGGATCAGAAGTAGTTGTGTAAATACTGGGTCAGAAGTAGTTGTGTAAATACTGGGTCAGAAGTAGTTGTGTAAATATTGGGTCAGAAGTACTTTAAGCCATCTCAGGCAACTCACTAAAGTGTGGCAATGAGTTTTCTATGAAAACAATTATTTCTTCAAGTCGTTCTATCCTTCACTGTTGCATGCAGCTCACCCTGTGTCCTTTCTATATTTTTAACTTGACATTCTGTCTCCCTTCTCCATGTGTTTGTGAATCTGACCTTGTTTCTATGCCACAATATGTTTTGTTGAAAAGACATTCTAGTTATGAGAGTAAGTCAATAAGTAAGTCACAAATGGTTGTTTACAAAAAACTAAAGATGATAACAACTTGAAAGCCATTTATTTTAGACATACACTGTCCCTTTATTTTTCAACATAATTTCCATCAACACTGATGTACTTGTCTCATCGTTGTATCGATTCTCCCAAACCTCCTGCATAGAACTGCTTGCTCTGTTTTCTAAAAAATGTCACTCTATATTCAGCTTCTGCGTCACTCGTGAAATGTCTCCCACCAGTGTAAGTTTTCAGTGGACCAAAAACCATGTGAGCACCCTATTGCAGCTGCTACAGACTCAACTGTTACTCGCCTGTCAGCTCTAATCATCTTCACCTGCTGCACGGATGTGTCTGTTGCAATCTCAACAGGATGACCAGTTCGGACTTCATCAACAATTGTAGAGCATCCTTGAGAACAAATTTTTACCCAGCCAAGCACAAATTTACAGGATAAACATTTGTTAGCATAAAAAGGAAGCATTTCCTTAAGAATGTCCTTTGCAGGCAGCCCTATTGCCCCCCCCCCCCCTTTCCCCCCTTTCCACCTCCCCACGACCAAAAAAATGCAAAAACAAAACAGCACTTTGTTCTTTAAGAGTGCACTTGGTAAGTACAGTACCATTGTGTTTCTATGTTGTGCATGCGCATGCAACATCTAAGAAACAGAGACATAATGTTCAATGACTGCTGTCACCTAAT